TTGAGCACAGAGCTTGACGTGGGGCTTGAACTCACAAACCGTGAGATCATGACCTGAGCCGAAGTCAGACGCTTAACCGCCTGAGCCACCCAGGCGCCCCACACAACTAATGTTTTTAATGTCAAAAGATATTAACAGGCACTTCACAAAAGAGGGTATCAAAATGGCCAATGAGCATATGAAAAGATGCTTAATAAAGTTATCTGGGAAATAGATATTAAAATCGCAGTGAGATGCCACTACATATTCACCAGAATGGCTAAAATTAAAAGTCTAATAACACTAAGTGTTGGTGAATTTATGGACAAGAGAACTAGATACATTGTTAGTGTACTTGGAAATTGGTTCAGCCACTTTGGAAAACTGTTGGGCAGTAAAGCAAAAACATATGTCTTACCCTGCAACCCAGCAATAAGACCTGGTATATATTGAAGAGAATCAGTGCGTATGTCCTCCAAAGGATAGGCATAAGAATGTTCACTGTGGCTTTATTCATAATAGCCCCAAACGGGAAGCAACCCAAATGTTCAGCAATAGTAGAATAGATAAATGTGTTCTATTTATACAATGGAATACTACACAGCAATGAAAAATCACGTTACGAATACATGCAAAAACAGGGTTGAACCTCACAGACATTATGGTAAACTCAAAAAGCTAGGCACAAAATGGCACAGACTGTCTGGTTTACAGAATGTTCAAGAATAGGCAAACTAGCCAAATGGTAATAGAAGTCGGAATAGAATGGCACTTCCTCTGGTGGGAGACTAATTGACCCCGAAGGAGCAGAAGGGACTTCTGGAGTAGTGGGGGTGTTCTGTATCACTCTCTGGGTAGTAGTTACACAAGTGTATTCATACATAAAAACGTATAGAGCTGTGCACTTCAGATTCGTGCACATGATATGCCTCACCTAATGTATATTTTATACCTTAATTTTGGGTGTTAGAATGTCTCAGAGAGGGAGTTTGCCTCTGCCTACAAGCCATGTTCTACTCCACTGCCATGTCACCTATCCAAACAGAGTGTCTGTTCTAAAAAGTGTGTGGGTGCTGGCTTGTAAGGAGAGGGCTTTATGGAACCCTGGAATGAAAAGATCAATATTTGTCAGAATAGACATAGATCTGGTCAAGCAAGACAATTAATTCTAGGCACAAAAACTGGAGTCGAAGCATTAGCAACTTAGAGTTTCACTGCTTTTTGCCCCCTTATTTTATTGAATTGTTTCTATTTAAGTTTTTTTTTTTTTTTTTCTTGTCATCCCATTACTTACAGGAATCCTTTCCATTTTGTGGAAAGTCCACTGATGTTGATTACTAGGAACAAGCCCCCTTTTCCCTTTTCTTTTTATAGGATTGATTTTCTCCTTCTCTTTCAAATTAAATACTGGAATGTTAGAGTTCAGCTATTTAGAAGGAGGAAATAAACATTTTCTCCTTAGAAGTATATAACTAATTTTCTTAATTTGTTTAGTTTCATAAAAAGGATCAGTAAACTATTTTAGATTGAATTTTTTCTCTCAAATAAATGTGCAGTTTCTTGTGAGGCAATACTTCCCACTGTTACTTTGGTAATTAGTCATGTGAGCTACTCTGAGAGCAGTTTTGGTAGGTTGGAATTAGTTGGAAACACCATGGGTGAAGAAGAAGGGAGTGTCTTCTACAGCCTTTCTTGAAAAGTTTTGGAAACTTGCTGATCCACAAAGTTGTTGTTTTAATCTGGACCTTGAAAGAGCCAATCAGAGATGAATAATGAAGAGAATTTTATAGATGTGTTGTTTGGAGATTTGTTTGTTTATAATCTTTGATCTGCCTTCTGTTCTCAGTCCCAAGTATATTGTTTTCTTCATTCCTAATTGGAATATTAGTGTTTTAATCACATAAGGTTTTTCATTGATAGACATCTTCAGGAATGTGTAAGAACAGAACTGAAGGTGGAGCCAGCTTTTTAGACCTCCTTATCTCTCTCACTGATTGACAGGAACTGAGCTTATTTTGTCATTTTCCCATCAGAGTCTCAGTTCTGTAGGTTCATTGGCAAACTGGAACATTAGCTAAAAAAGACCTTTTATTGTTCTTGTAACTTTTTTAAAAATTATTTACGTGATTTAATTTTATTTTTTAATATAATTTATTGTCAAGTTGGCTAACATGCAGTGTGTACAGTGTGCTCCTGGTTTTAAGGGTAGATTCCCATGATTCATCACTTGCATCCAACACTCAGTGCTCATCCCAACAAGTGCCCTCCTCAGTGCCCATCACCCATTCTCCGCTCTCCTCTACCCTATTGTTCCTGTAACTTTACTTGGAGACCTTTCAACCAACAATATCCCATATGGCCTTATAACATGCATTCACTTACATCTTACCTTGTTCCACGAGGGAATTGAGTAAGTTACAGTACACACATAATACAGGGAAGTAAAGTAAAGTAAAGAAGCTGGGAATTTGGAGCACAAAGGAAAACAAAACAAAACAAGCCAATAGCCACAACTTTTACTACAAGCTTCCTAATACCAAAATAAAGAGGAGTGCCAAGAACTGAACAGATTCACAAAGACCATAAAATAAAAAAATAGATTAGGTATAAATTGGACTGCATCAGAATTAACATTTGTGCTGCAAACTGAGCCATCATGAAGAAAGTAAAAAGACAAGCCATAGAATGAGTGACAATATTAACAATCATGCATTTGATAAGGGACTGGTATCTAAAGAATTTAAAGAACTCTTATAATTGAATAATAAAAAGACAACTCAGGCAACAACAGATGTTGGCGAGGATTCAGAGAAAGAGGATCTCTTTGGCATTGTTGGTGGGAATGCAAGCTGGTGCAGCCGTTCTGGAAAACAGTATGGAAGTTCCTCAAAAAACTAAAAATAGAACTACACTATGACCCAACAATTCACTACTAGGTATTTATCCAAGGGATACAGGCGTGCTGTTTCAAAGGGACACATGCACCCCCATGTTTATAGCAGCACTATCAACAATAGCCA